TATTAATGCACCCACACAGCCCATTTGCATTTTTTAACCTTTTTAAAAACGTTTTCATTACAACAATCAGATCTAAGGGCAATGAAGTAAGCGTGGAACAATAGAAGTGAAGAGCTTGATTCTCCTCAGACCTATACCCGTTTTAAACTTCACTAGTGACACTGATTTTGATTTACACCAAAAGCAAAGAAGGAGGATCAAGCCTAGCAGGTCTGCACCGAGACATCCATTTTTGATAGTTAGCAAGGAAGAGTTTTGTAATACAGTTGCAGCATACAACATGTTGTTTGGAAAAAAGCACTTTTTCCAAAGAGGAGGGGTTTTTTTGCAGATACAAGTCTGTGGTATGTATGAAGAGCAGTGCTGGAGGCCTGGGTGTTGGCAGTGCTTGGCAGTGGCCATGCAGGGGAAGCACTGCAGGGTGCCCATATGTTGACTGTGTGGCTGTCCTGCACAGGCACTGGGGTTCACCCTGGTTAATCTCAACATGACTAAGCAGTGCATTCCTCATTGTGGGAGTAGTTTTATCCATTGTAGGCTGTTACCTTCTGCACAGCCATATCTGATTCCTGCCCTGGGGAGCAGGGCAAGGCAGTACACCCCAGCTGGCTGCAGGGGAAGGTGGGAGCCTTAGTTGAGGAGGAGAAGATGATAAGGAGAGATCAGAGGTGGCCAGAGGCATGGCCACTCTGCCATGTGCACACTGCCAATGTAAAACAGCAAAACATTGCCACCACAGCAAGCCACATCTGGGACTTCCTGCACTAAGAAGAGATGGACAACCAGTTTTAAGTTGCATCTGGGCAAGGTGATTTCTGTTGAACAAATGAGCATTTATGTGTTGTCTGGCTGCAGAAGTGTGACTCAGAAAAGCACCTGAGTAACACTGCTGTCAGCCTGGAAGCTGAAAAAAGGTGAAGAAATCCACAAAGCAATCGTTCATGTCTGGCTTTCTGGCAGACTGCACCTTAGCAGCTTGTTAGTGCCTCCCTTCCTCAATTGCTTCTGTTTTACCTGACTCTGGATTTTCTCCATGAGTCACTGTTAAAAGTTACTATCTAGTGGATATCAATGTCATGGTCTCTGAAAGGACTTTCCCTCACATTGAATATTGTTTGATTCGAGGTAAAGCAGAGAGCTAAAAATGCCCTCAGGCTTCTCCTGTGTGTCTCAGTTAAAGCAACACTAGCCTAGTTAGGCAGAGTTTGTAAACATGGGGTGTGGGTTTGCGATACAGCTAATTTGATCTAACGTCAGCTGCCAGTCACAGAGGTGAGCCTGCTCCTCCTGTCAACAGCTTCATGCTCCTGCTTCAGATCATGCTGCTTGTTTGACTCCTGCTGACGCAGTCCAAGACAATGACCCAGCAGAAAACTTCACTTCTTTTTTTTTTCCTGGACTCATTTCTGCCAGGCTGACATCCTCTGATGGCTTGCCCAGGTGAGATGAGCATCAGCGCTGGCACAAGAAGGGATACAGGGTTGCTCAAGAGAGAGGGAAGATGGTAATTAGTAATACAGAAGCATTAAAGCATTTGGTTGATTGGCTGTAAATCCATGCTTTTGCAACTCCCTATTTGGCTTGCACAGATGGACTACAACTGCCATCAAATGAGGAGACTTTTATTACTCCTTTTTCATCACTAGCAAGATCTGTTTGTAGGATTGTTGTTTTCATTTTCTTGGGTCACTTCAAAGACAAGAAGCACTAATGGCAGCAGTGGAAACACAGTAGAGAAGAGGGTAAAGTGAAAGAAGCAGATAGGAAAGGTCATCTCTGTCAGCAGCAGCACAACATTAGATCATTATCACAAGGTAGTCCTGAAATCATTGGCTTGGCTACTCCCAGCACTGCAGGTGCTGCCTCTAAGCTAGGGCACAGCTGGGAGAAGGGGTGATGCCATCCTCTTCTTCCTCACCTGGGACCCCAGGCTCATACTCTCCTCTCTGTCCTTATGCCTAACTCTCCCCATTAGCTCATTGACTGGAGCTGCTGGGGTAGTTTGGCCCTGTCAACACCTCCACAGATGCTGCTGGGCCTGTATCTGCCTGCACCAGCACATTATTCCTGTACCACTGCGTGGGGACTCCTGTGCTAGTCCATTTCTTCATCCAAAACCAGCACGCTGATGGATTGGATGTGCCTGGAGCCAGAAGAGGAATATATCAGATGATCACAGCACCATCACCTGCTGGTTATAGCTATTTTCTGGGGTTTTGTGGCAAACTTTACCAGAGCTCAGGAGCACTCTGAGTGCAAGCGCCGGGAGTCTGCAGTTCCAGAGGAACTTTCCCCTCCTCAAATCAAGTGGACAAGAAGACCAAGACATAAGACAGCATGCTGAACTGCATGACCATTAGAAACAACAGCAGTTCTACAGCGCTGTCGATCCATGCAGGTAGAAGTATGCTGCTTAATTACTATGATAATTTCTTTCCCTAGTGCTTGTCCAGCTCACATGGAACCTCCCCTTATATGCAAAACAGGTTTGCTATTTTAAATGTCTCCTTGTGTATACATGCCAGCTGCTAGCTTTTCCTGGGATCCAGGGCAGCTGACATTGCTGCCAATATAAATTATTTTGCAGGTTGGAGACTAGTTGGCAAGAGTGTGGTGAGCCTCCCTTTTATCTAATCCAGTAGGAGTGCTTTTTGGGTTTGTTGTTTGGGTTGTGTTTTTCCCATTTGACGTGGCTTCCAGGAGACACAGAGTGAAAGAGGTATTTATTTATTTATTTATTTATTTTTAGTTCTTTAAGACAAAAAAACAACAACTTTTCCATAACAGTGGGCAGTGCTAGGAACTAGAAAGGTAAATACAACATCCTGTAGGTTCAAGTAGGAGTGCAGTTTGTGTATGCCTCCACCAAACATGCGCTAACATTAATACTGCTGCTTCATGTAATTCTTCTCTAGTGCTAAGAAAACCTCCACTTAAAGGTACAGCAGCTCGTGCTAGGCTGAGCCATGAGCCAAAAGCAGAACTTGATTGATTAGGAAAGCGTGTAATGGGGAGGCTGAAAATCCCCTTGTAAGTGTGGTACGAAGTTTTTACCACAAGAAACCCTTTCTGTTTCTAGTGTGGTTAAAAAGTTTAATCCAGTTGGCTGATGGATTAAAGTAATTCCAGTTCTGTGCCTCTTCACTTTTGAAATCTGAACGTTTTAATTTGTTTATTGTTCTCACTGATAACTCTTCTTTCAGACTTTATACTGAAGGTGATTTATTGGACTAAATAAATATGTGTGCTGTCTGGCTTGGTAGGAAATCCCATAGCCTAGGTTTAGTGTAGGATCTGCTCTAGGGGCACAAGAAAGCTGCAAATGGAGCACTGTGATGCTAGGCTTTGGCAGAAACAAGCACAATCATGCTGTTTGCCTAGGAGGAAAGGCTTGCACACAGGAATACGCCGTGTAGCAAGTATTCTAGAAGAAAATTGGGTCTGCTCTTTCTTAGCACTGTACAATTGGAATGTGGCTACTCCTGCCTCTCTCCCTCCCACAGTATCCCAATGGAAATGTCTTTATTTCTTCCAGTGAAACAAGAAATGTATTTCAACATAGCACTTAGTTGACTTTTATAAGTTTGGAAAGGATCAGGTCTGATGTTGAGTAGAGAACTATTGGACCTGGATTCTTGTGCTTGCTTTGAAAAGCAGGATTTTAGTTGGGTTTTGCACTTGACTTCGTTGGGCGTTTTGTTTGTATTTTCCCTCCTAAAGCTCCCTGAATGGATTGGTTTGTTCTTCTGGGATCTATCTGAATTCCTTCAGGAACAAGCTGCCTTCTGCACAGAACACTCTGATGGGGGCCAAGGGATAAAGTTCAGCATATTACCTCATTTCTGCTGGGTTTCTTTCTTTGTTTTTAGAGACATACTGTCATTTCAGCTTGGATCTGAACATGTTGAGGGCTGAGGCCAGGGGAAATGTTATCCTTTTTAGTCACTTTTTTTTTGGAGAGGGCAAATAAACATGCAAGGGCTCATCCTGCTCTTTAGACAAGTTTGTGTGTGCTTCCTTGAAGGACAGAAGCGGAAGGAACAAGTACCTTCTCCTAGTGTCTGCCAGCACCTAGCCTTTATGCAGCTTGAGCGCCTTCCAGGCATCAGATCCATCAGAGATCCATTTGTTGACAGCTGTTACTGCTTTTGACTCTTCTGGTGGGCTGGAAACACTCTCTGCTTTGGAAATCGTTACAGCCGTGTAACTTGCAAACTATGAGTAATGGTTTCCTCCAATTTAACTCTCCCCTTCTCTTACGTGTTTCCACTGTGCCCGTCCTTCCTCGTGTTTGCCCAGCTCAGGGGTGAGGTACTGGATCTCAGTACAGCAGCTTCCCTGGCGTCTTGCAGAGGAACTGCAGGTCGAGGTCAGCCTCCCTGAACAGGACACCTCACAGGGATAAACCTGGCAAATAAATGCGAAACTCCAGTAAATGCCATAGTGCGGAAGGGAATAATGGCTCAGTGGTTACCTGATAAACTTCCCTTTCCCTCACTAGCACCTCTGTCATCTGGAAAGAGGTTACCAGCTACCTCTTTTTCTCCTAGGAAAGAATTACACATCAACTCTGCTTCCCTTTTCTCACCCTTTTACCTCACGCAAAAGCACAGCTAACTCCAAGGTGACTGAATTGATACTGGTCTGAGCGGTTTGTGTGCTGCTCTCCAGTCTCCTGCTTGTATTTCAGGCCTTTGTGTTCCCACAAGTTTGTGGGGTTTTCCAGTTAAACCTCTTGGTCTTTCAGAATATATTGCTGTGGTCTACAAACTTTGCCTTGCCAATGTCCTTAGATTGTGCTGCCTGAAATGCTGCTACCTTCTTCCTTGCAAGCCACTCAATGCTATTTCAGTAGGGTTTAGGAGCAAAGTAGCACATGCATCCCTTGGCAGTTAAACCTCAGAGGGACTGGTATGTATGATATGAATTCCTATCTATTTCAAATAGATGGAAGTCACTTGATTTTAGTATTTTCCTCAATTACAGTTGCAAGTGCTGTGTCCAGGACCCTTGGGCTTGTTTCTATGGCAGTTATTCCCAGCCTTTTAACATCACACCTTCCCTCAAACCCCATTTGGCAATATGAGGAAATGAAGTGTTGCAACACCCACACCGAGCATCTCACAGAGCTCAGTGGACTAAGGACTAAGAACATGGGCAGAGATGTCCACAGATGACAGGCTCGTATGGGAGGGACTCGGGTGCAGTACACTGCAGCACAGCCTCCCATGGCACTGGTTTCTTGTCTTTGCATTGGGGACTTCATGTGGCAGCCTAGATCTTCATTCTCCCCTTGGTTTTGTTTTCCTTTCTTTTCTTCTCCCCTTGCCCTGCCCTCAAGCAGGATTGCAGTATTGGAATGGCATCATGAGCAGGAATGCCAGGGAACCTGTGCTGCACTAGGCAGGCTGACTAATCTCCCTTTAAATAATCTCCCTTTAAAATAGTCTGGAAGCACTCTAGGGCGTTTCTGTTTCAGGAGCCATGAGAACACAGCCATGACTGTGGTCTGTATAAATAGCCAGATCCATGCTGGTAAGTACTGAACAGCGCAGTTATTTGTTCTAGGAGGGTCTTCCTATTTTTTTCATGTTGCTGCATGGATAGCTGGGATAAATTCTGGTAACATTTCTGTACAGTAGTGGTGCTGCTGCCTTTTCTCAGACTGCCATTTCATCAGCAACAGTAAGGAGGAAACAGCTACTCTTCGGAGACAGATTTCTGTCTCCTGTGGCTTTTCCTACATCTCCTTTGTCTCCCGTACAGCTGCCTTTAGCTAAGACAGTGCAGTTCAAATCCTCTTGATCAGTGCTGTGAGTTGAAAAATCTCACTGATATTTATAGCATCTGGAAGGTGAAGACAAGGGATGTTTGAATACTCACTGCCTAGCTATGGATCTGGATAGAGCATAATGTGATGGTCCTGTCTGAGGAGGATTAGTTCAGCTTATCTGTGCTGTCCTAACTCAGTAATCAGCAATGCAAAAAACCCCCAAACAAACACACACAAAACCACAAAACAAATTGTTAACCAGGTCTGTGTTAGTTATGCTGGCTAATATAATCTTTTCTAAGATGGAATAGCGCAAACTATTCTCCAGGTAGGTATGTGCACTCTGCAGCTGCATAAGCAGTTGTCAGGTTGCCTCCATCTGGTCCTGGATTATCAAGGCAGCCTTCAAAAACATAAGTATCTGATACCTGGCCAATAGCCACTACAGAGCTTTCCAAGATTTAGGTAAATACGAGAATTCTCAACAAAGAGCGCAGCAAGTCTTGCCTCAGCTGAGGTAGGAGGCATTTGAATTTCTTACTCATAGTGTATTGTCATCTTCTCCCTGCCATCCTACCCACTCAATGCGTCAGAGATCTAATATTTTTTTCCCCTATCCCTGCTGAGCAGAGGATATTCAGGCCTTCAGCTTCTGGTATATCATGTCAGAGATCTTTCCCCCTGCTGCTCAGACACAGTCCCCCTGAGATAGTGGGGTTCTACCAGGGTAGGAGAGGCTTGGTGCAAGAGGATAGAGGGCTGAGCAGGTCTGAGGAAGAGAGGCTGTGTGGGGGTATAGCACAGACCACTTACATAGAGGTAGCTTCCCTAAATGCTTCCTCATGTTTAACTTCCTCCCTAATGTTGCTTTTAATTCACTGTACAGATGACAAGGAATGGGACACGATTCAGACAATTCTTTAATCTTATAGGGGAAAGGATGTGCTCTTTCTTTTTTCATGCTTAGTGCTCACTACCCTCAAATAGGGACACAGCGGAGGCCAGGGATTGCCTCAGTGTGTCATTGAGATGGGCATTTAAGCTCCTGTTTGGCAAAGCAGAAGTTCTGTGCTGGTTTTTGGAAACACAATCAACAAAGGCAGTAATGGTCTTCTGAGGGAAAATACTATAATGTTTAATTATCAACAGTTTGCTGAATTGGAAAGCAAATCGACAAAAATCCCAGGCCGTGGATTTAATTAAAAAGAAACAACAAACCATAGGCAGCTTTTCATTAACTGTTTTTACTGTACTTGCATCACTCCAGTAAGATCAGCCAGGCTGCTCCTGGGGTAAGATTGGTCTGTGTTGCCAGTATGCAACATGTGGGTTCTCTCTGGAAAAGCACAAGAAAAAGACAAAGCTGAAAGCAGAAGTTGTGTTTCAATGCAGGACAGGTCCCACTGAGCTGGGAGGGCAAAAAGCAGTGAAATCTGTCCCATTTTGCTGTGTTAAGTGTGGGTCAAATGCAGTGTGTTTTCTCTTCTTCCCCCTAGCACGATGGCTTCATTTCCTGTCTTGAAGCAAGAGACGTTGTTCCGGAATGGTACCTGGAGCTATCGAATTCCAGCTCTGCTCTACCTGCCACGGTTCAGCATCATCCTGGCATTCGCTGAGGAACGAGAGGATGTGGTGGATGAACATGCCAAGCTAATAGCAATGCGCAGAGGCACATATGACCCAGCCACGCACCATGTGCAGGTACCAGCGTGGGGAGGAAAGGGAGGAGGCTGCTCACCTGTACTGCTCACTTGTCCTTGCATGAGTTGAATGCTTGCCCTCTCACTGTGGGAGAAGGCAGCTTTTCATTCTCCCCAATTACACGAGACATATCTGCTTGTAAGTAATGCATGTGTCATTATTTAGATTAGATATAAGGAAGAAGTTGGTTATTGTGAGGGTCTTAAAGCACTGGAACGGATTGCCCAGAGAAGCCCCGTACCTGACAGTGTTCAAGGCCAGGTTGGATGGGGCTTTGAGCAACCTGGTCTAGTGGAAGTTGTCCCTCCCATAGCAGAGGGGGTGGGACCAGATGAACTTCAGGGTTCCTTCCAACCCAAACCATTCTGTGATTCTGTGTGATTATAACTGCTGGGATTTGACCCACCATTGCAGAGCTGGGGAAGCAAATGGAGAGATGGAACAAAAGCCCTCTTGCAACAGCAAAAATGTGGAGGAGAGGCAGAAATGGGGAATGCCACAGGGATGGTGAGGAGTGAATTAGCATTTTTTTTTTTATTTAATTCATTTTCTTAGGACTAATTTCTAGTTTAAAAACCAATTCAGAACAGCTAATCACCCCACGCAGAAGTGTCTGGTTTTTCTGTGCCAGTGAATTGGCTACCTTATTAATCAACTAGTTATTATTAACAGTTATCTTCCTGGGTGACTGGGGGTGGTGGATACTCTATTTATAATATTTTTTTGCATTTGCAAATGCATTAATGTCTTGAGGGAAAAAAAGTCATTATATTTTTCTATTCCAGTCCTTTCTTGGTGACTGGTTGTCATAGACTATAGACTCTCTTAAGAGCTGGGATCTGCCTAGCAGGAGCAGCTTCTGAGTGCACCTGCAGTGTCATACCATTCAGCTAACATCTTGTGTAACCCCGTGTAATTCAGTTAGGTAGGGCTCAGTTGGTTTTAAACTCAGTAACTTGTGTTCACATGCTAGAATTTCTTAAAATGGAAATAATAAATATTCCCAAGAAGTTAATACTGGTGGAATAGACAAAGACAAGACACGACCGAAAAGGGCAATGAGCAAGTCAGAAAAGCCAATTAATATAAGATTACTGGAAAATAGTGCTGCTTTTACTAAGCCAATAACATGATGTAGGAATAATTTTCTAATTGCAATGTTAGTGTCAGAAATGTGATTGTGTTTTGTGCTATTCATTTAAAGACAGTCAAGGCTTGGAGAGTTGTTACACCTGCTCTGTGACCTGTTTTCTGTGTTGGACGACTCAGGGTCCAAGTTTCCATACCAGAGTGTGTAAAGCCATACAGTCTGCTCTAGTGAGGTGCCTCAGTGTGGGTTGATATGCTCATTCACACAAATGGAATAGGAATCTGAATGGAAAGGAATTTCTCAGCACCTAGGATACTTGAAAAGGGCGCAGTTACCTAGCTGACTTCCTAAAAAACACTGACAGCACAGTGTCTGTACACTTTGACCACTGGGCATGTCTGTGTGTCAGACATGAGCTGCAATAAGATTTCAGCTCCAAAGCAATAATGAAAAAGGACATAATCCACCTGTTTGGTGAGATGCACATGCATTGTGTCATGCAAATGATTTTCATTTATGTCTGGCAGTGCCAGTGTACCGTCTTCCCATTTCTTGCTCTATCCACTAACTTCCCTTCTGTTCTCTTCGTGCTCTTCTGTAATTTTTATCTAGCCATCTTTACACTGAAACATGGACCTGTTTGTAATGGTGTGTTTCATTCTTGTCTCCACACGGGGCCTGGCAGTGGAGTAGAATGGAGACCATTGTCAACGCACAGCTGAAAGACCACCGATCTATGAACCCCTGTCCTGTTTACGATGAGGTCTCAGGGAAACTGATCCTGTTCTTCATAGCTGTCCCAGGAAAGATCTCTGAGCAGCATCAGCTCAGGACAAAGATCAACCTGGTACGTCTCTGCTACGTCACTAGCATGGACCAAGGGCAGACCTGGAGCGCTGCCCGGGATGTCACCAACAGTACCATTAGCACTGAGTACAAGAACTGGGCCACTTTTGCAGTGGGGCCAGGTCATGGATTACAATTGCTCAACAAGGTCCGGAGCCTCGTGATTCCTGCCTATGCCTATCGTATCTTGCACCCTAAGCAACACCCCACCCCTCATGCCTTCTGCTTCATCAGCTCTGATCATGGGACAACGTGGGAGATGGGGAACTTTGTTGGGGAGGAGAGTGCAGTGGAGTGCCAGGTTGCAGAGGTGCATACCTGTGGCAGGAAGGTCCTCTACTGCAATGCAAGGAGCAGCAGGGGAGCCAGAATCCAGGCTGTCAGCTACAACCATGGGGTGGACTTTGAGGGAGGCCAGCGGGTAGAAATGCTGGTAGAACCTCCTTCTGGTTGTCACGGAAGTGTAACTGCCTTCCCACCTCCCCCTGATGCCAGATGCCAAGACAGTTGGTTGCTCTACACTCATCCTACAGATCCAAAGGGTCGAAGAGATTTGGGAGTTTACCTCAACAAAAGCCCTTTAAATCCAGCACACTGGACAAAACCAAGCATCCTCTTCAAGGGTCTGTGTGCTTATTCGGATCTGCAGTACATGGGGGTTGGGCCAGATGGCTCACCCTTGTTCTCCTGCCTCTTTGAATACGGGACCCACCAACAATGTGAAGAGATAATCTTTGTAATGTTCACTTTGAAGCAAGCCTTTCCATTAGAGTGCTGAGGCTTGAGCCTTTCCATCATCAACCCTCTGAAAACCACATTTGCTGATAATTCTTTCACTGTTACTTGTCATCTTTCAGCAAAAGGTTTTTTCTGCTCCTCCTGCACCCTTATTTTGGCATTGGCCTGTGTTGTCTGTGGATTACAAAGTCTATTAAACATAGTAAAAATAAATATGTGTTTGGTTTTGTTTTCTATTGCTTGTTCTAGCTTTTTGCCTTCCCCTTTGGCTGCTATCTTAAGCATCATGCACTCAAAACAAGCATGACCTTTGTATAGGTCCTCTTGCCTTGAGGCTTCTGATAGACTTGATTAGGGACAACATAGGGCCTATGTTGGAACAGATGGCAGTGATTTTATGTGAGCTGAATTCAGAAAGTTGCGGAGAAAATGCTAGGGAGGACCCTGGGCTGACTGCCCTACGGCTGCAGTTCCCTTCTTCAGAAAAGTGCTTTGTCAGGTGCGATGCTTCTTGCAGTCAGTGCAGGACTTGCTGGCAACCCCAGATTTCAGGGCTTGCTGTCTTCAATTCAGCAGGGCCATGGGATGCTGTGTGCTCAGGATGTTCCTTGCTCACTTCTGCAGTGGGTTTGGGTTTGCCTTGCTGAATGGTCCCCCAGGGACTTCTGTCTTACTTAGCCTTCTCCTTACTTCCCATGCAGTACAGTCTTCCTTATTTGCCCTTTTGCTTACACTGCACTGAGAAGATGGTTTCTCATGTAAGAAAACTTGTGCTCCGGCTGCTCCCTCTTCCTGGACAGTGACAGTAGGACCTATGTAGGACACAAAGCTGTGGTTTGGGACCCTGCCGTGTTTGGGGATGGGGCAAGTGGCAGAAATGGCATTTTGCCTGTATCAGAACTGCAGGATCAGGACAGGGCTGCAGGGGGAGCTCCCAATTTGTAATCAGGAGGGGAAATACTTGCTGGTCTTTTGAACACAAATGCTATGATCCACACAGCAACTGCTCTTATCGCTGGCAACCCAATGTCTTGCGAGCATAGCTGCTATTATTACACAGTATTATTGGCATGTGAGGCAATGTGACAAACAAGTAACATTGCCCCACTTCCAGTAAATTGGAAAGGCAATTTGAGTGTCTTTGGTGCCAGAGGATGGAGACCTGACCAAGTCCAGAGCATCATGAAAGTGCTGAAGCTTTAAGGCTTTCCAACACAGACAGATTTTCAGCAGGTGTCTGAAGGACACAGCCCCAGTTATGGTGAGAGAGATGATTCTGTGGCTATGGTGTGATTTGAAAGGAGGCATTATGCCCTGAGTAGACAAGGGGAGTGACCAGAAATGAAAGGGTACCAAGGGAAACACGTCAGAGAAGATGGAGCAAGGAAAGCTTTACCCATGCCTCTGGACAAAATCCTGCTCTATAAACTAGACTGTGCTTGTTTGCTGTGTGCTGTGTTTGTATGTGTGCACATGTAGAATGGCTCCAAGGAAAATACGTTTTTTTTTTTTCTCTATTGGTGGAGAAAAATACCTGCTTTCCAGAGAACACTCAGAACATGTCCATCTTTGGGGAATGCTAGCAGGTCCAATAGGATCCTTAGCACTCTCATTGCTCATATCTGTGAGTCTCTGCTAGATCTGTGGCCCCACTCTTGCCTTTTATTGCTGATAGCTTTCAGGGATAGTGGGAGAAGGGGCTCTGATTTTTTTCATCTAGATTTGTTTCAGGGCACCTGGAGACTGCAGGTACCAAGGGAGTGAAGAGATCTCATGGCCTTCACAATGCACCTGTAATTTGCCAAGGCTTTCTCAAGCAGCATGTCAGTAACATACTGGGCTGGAGTAGCACACAGTGGCCCAGCTAACCAGTACTTTGTGGGTGTTACTCACGTGCTCTTTAGATGTAGGCCGGAGTCTAAGTACACCTTTGTGGCCAATATCCTGTTGGCTAATGAGGAAATGTTGTATTTAGACTTCAGCAAAGCTAACTGCTGTCCTGCAGACTTCCCTTGTCAGGCATACTATGAAATCCTTTTGTTTGGTGACATGAAAACATATATTTGAGAACTCATCTGACAGTGCACAGGCTGAGAATATAGGGGGTGGTTGGGTGGCCACTGTGCGTCTTGAATGATGCTACAGACAGTGTTTACTCACTGATTTTGGGCAGGCTGGTGAGTTTGCAGCCAGCTGGTACTGTACTACCTAGGCACCTGTAGCAAACCCAATTTAGATAAAGTATTTATTGCAATGTCTGAGAGACAGCCTGGAATAATATCCTAATGTGAAGGGAAATAATGTTTGCTTTGTCCATAGACTGCAAGAAATGCAATTTTTGATTATCCAACATCAAAATGTGTCACAGTTCTTTGTCTCTGGCCTCATTCTCTCAAATAAGTTTAAAGGGAATACTGCTGCTGGTGCAGTTATCTAAAAGCTTCTTTTGAGCTGACTGATGTACCTGCTATTCTTTTGTTTTACAAGTGTAGCTCTTACATCATGCTTTGTCCTGGCTGTGGGATGACAGTGTGGTCTATTTGAAGCACATCCTATTCCTTGTGGAAACAGTAGGGCTGTGCTGGCTACATGTATAATATCACCTGGCAGGTTACTGGTGCAGGCTGAACACTGCACTAGCTGTCTACGATAAACGCTTAGCTCTCCTCTATATAACTTCTCTAATCTCTCCTTCCTCAGGTCCACTCACCAGTCTTCTCTGACACAGGCATGAAAGGAAAGAAGAAGAATGCTTATTTCCTGCAGAACAGCCTCTTGTCTCTGTGTGGGACAGAAGAAGTTGCCGCAGGCCTTTGGGAACCAGGTAGTTGAGGACATGTATAAACTTGTTTGCTGACCATGCATGGATCAGTCTTTCTCCAGCACTGCAGAATACACATGCCAGAACCATAAGAAACAAACCAGATGCATTTTCCCCTTCAGGCAGTGTTGCAAATGAGCCATTAGGGATGGCATGTTTATGTTAGGGGATTGGGATTCACCTTTTGGGCAGCTGGAGCTGTACTGTGCTTTTTTTTTTACGACCAAGAAATACAGAAACCAGCTCTCATATCTTATTGCCACAATCATCACACGTGTTTGGATCCCATACATTTGATACACTTTGGATGCCATACACTCAAGGACGTGTGTGTGGCTGGACAGGGATTCACACGTGAAGGAAATAACAGCAACTTGCTAAAAACTGGTGGTAAATTGGTGGTGAGATGGATAGAAGTTAAGTATTCAGCTAATCAGTCTCAAATGTCTGACTAGGGCTTGTACTTATCTGTTACCTTATGTTAACTTGCAGTACATCAGAAGCTCTCAGTTTCATTTCAGCAAAACTCATGTTGTTCAGCAGCTCTGTCCACTTTGTATCCCCATATGGGTCTGTTGCACGGAAAACACTGTGAGGTCAAGCAGTGGTTTGACATTCAGAGATGTTCTGCTTCCTGCTGCAGCTGTGCTCCAGAGAAGCTACTCTTAAGTATCAGAAATCCCAAAGTTGGTACAGGTGAGGCTAGCAGCACATTATGGCCAAGCAGGACTGTCAAAGGAGCTGCACAATCCCTTTGCCATATGCAGCACTCTTCTTGGTGAACACAATAGGATTTGTAACCACTCTAGCTTACAAGAGCTTACAGCTGCTGTCCAGGCAAAACCACTTCATGGCATTCAGCATCTGACTCCATTCAGGCACCTGTATCTGTGGGAGTCTGGCTCCTAAAGCACCGTATGAATCTGTGTGCAGTTGAAGGGCAGGTCCAGCTGAGCTAATTTTGGTCTGGAGACAGTGCTTACTCAGCAGGGACAGGAAGCCCTGCACATTGCAGTTCTGCCATTTTGGCAGGGTACCATGCTGGCCACACAGTTTTGAATTGCAGTGCCCACAGCTGAATGTCAGTGGCACAGATTAAGCTGGACGCAGAGCAGATGTCTAGATAACTGAAAGCACTACGAAGGCTGGCAGGAACAAATGCTGGGCTGTACTGCTTCACTCTCTTGATACCCACAGATTCTGGTCTCTCCCAGTTTGGTGATAAGCTGCTCTCCCCTGCCATGCTGTGAACAGGGGCAGCACTCTGGGAGGTGAGTGTTGCATAGGCCCAGCACTGTCTGTGCCTCTCCTGGGAGCTCCCCTCCGTACTCTGAGTCCCAGACAGTAGTCCCTGCTCAGCTGCTGCTTTTAGCTATAGATCAAATGTGGATGTGCAGAACTGCTGCCTGCAAAAGCAGAGTGGCTGGAGGTACAGGGTAACCAAATCTGTCATACAGGCAGTGCCCCTAGCAGTGTCCTTGCTTGCTGCAGACATGCCCCTCATTGCTCTGCCTTGGAGATGCAGCACTGAGCGTGCTGTAGAGGAGGGGCAGATATACAAAGAGAAGGGAAGTGAAAGCTTTAGTTCTCCCCACCCTGATGCAGCTTGTCAGACATGGCTTTGCTCCATCGCATCTTTGGGGATTTAGAGGAAGAATGATCTTTGAATCCATCTCACAGTAGGTGACAGGGAGCTTTGGTCAGGAATGGGGCAGTCAGTGCTAAGTATCCTAATGCGCAGTGTGTTCCTGATCAATTTGAAGTTTATTTAATCCCCATGGAGACCTGTTATGGGTAGGATATAGACAGGAAAAAGATGGAAACTCAGAGGGTCTGGCAACAGATCAGACATGGGATGGCAGGCCACCAAAGCTTGGGGCACTGAATTGGTGGGGAGTAGAAGACATTCCCAGCTGGGACTTTGTATCATGGAGTATCAGGACACGAAGGGGGAGGGAAAGGCAGGTAACATGGGCTTGCTAGTCGCTTCAGCAGCAGCATGAAGAGGGAGAGCGGGGGCTGCAGTAACATGTCACACTCAACTCTCTGAGCTGTTTGAGTTGAGGAAGTTGTCCGTGGCTGAGTTTCCTTTCCCTCTCTGTACTACTGAAACAGGAAGCTGGTGAGCTGAAGCTGCCTGATCGTTACACACAGACACACAGCCAGCTCTGGCAGCTGCTGCACTGGCATTCAGGTCTCCTCCAGCTCCAGCAATGGATCAATGCTGGTACCACGGCAACATCACTCGCTCCAGAGCCGAAGACCTGCTCTCCAAAGTAGGCAAGGATGGCAGCTTCCTTGTGCGGGCCAGTGAGTCAATTGCTTCGGCATATGCACTCTGCGTGCTGTAAGTACAGCTTTCCAACGCGCGCTTCACGCGGACACTTCTGTC